AATTTTTTCCGCTGCGTTGAAAACAACCGAAACAACCCTAACGACAGACCCACGACGGCCTTTATTAGGGCCGACCAGGTCACTCCGCGTTTCCCTATGAAAGCGCGCGGGCCAAGAAATATCACGTGAACGGCTTGGAGGGACCGAATGTTCCGCGAGGCGCCGCACTAGCTCAACACGAAAAGCGCGGCGTCCGCTATGGAAGGCAACGGGAGCGTTTGGAAATAACGTTGGTTTCAGATTATTTTTGTCACGATTAATAGGCAAGCCATGATGCCAGCACATAGTGTGTATAGAATAGGTTAAAATGAGTCACTATAATACAGTTTTCTCGAGCAGAATAGTTAGTATTGTGAGCTAAGCATCAGTAGGGTGCACGAGTGTACACCCTACTGGTGTACGAGTGGTGCATCCAGTCCGCCTGCTGAAACCCACTGCCGTGATCGGAATAAAAAATCGAGTGAGATGCTCCGCACGCGCGGGCCGTGACACTCTTGGTGAATGTTCGAAGTAAGACTGTTGATTGGTAATGAGCTGGTGACTGGCGCGAGGGGGGGGGGGGGGGGAGTCCTCCAACGTTGCATTTTACGGGGCGCGAAGGAGTTCTAGTGACGAAGTGTACGGGTTAAAAGGGGCTGCAGTCCACCAGTGCGAGTACGCCGCAGGGAAGAGGCAAAAGGAAGCAAGGAGTCCGGTAGCAGAAAAGTAGCTAGGAGCCGCGTGGTCGCTACTTGACGTCGACGTTAAACAGGGTCCCTTCCAACTGAACGGAGGAGGTGCAGTGCTCGATAGGATGGTGTTCGGGGGCCAAGTTGGCGCCTCATAATAAGGTAGGAAGCGCGACGTTGCACCGACTCGAAGGAGGCAACAAGTTGCCTGTTTGCTTAATCCCACACCGAGCAGCAAACCTCCAGGATGGGCAACACCAGTACTGTGAACAGCAATATGGGGACATTGAGACTGGCTCTCGTGGACCGAATGGCGAAGCCAAGGAGTAACCTTTCCCCGGACATGACGTTTTGGACACAGCGATGGAAATCGAAATGCTGGTCGATGATGACACATAGGAGGTGGATATCCGTAGTTCTTGGGACCTCCACTCGGTTCGGGAAAAGTGTTGGAGGGGTCGTAGGTTGGCGCGAGGCAGTGATGTGCATGGTAGCGCATTTGGTTCAAGTTTAGGGGAAGTTTGTTATCTTTTGACCAGAGAAGAATGTAATCTAGACCAGCATGTAGCTTTTTAACAGACGTACAATCGCAAAAACGATGAGAAAAGTCCTTAAAATACAGCCGATTATCCTCAAAACGTCGCTGGTCGTGGAGCTGACACACACAGATACACACGCTAAAGCGTCTGCTAGTGCGTTAAAGGGGCCCACCAACAATTTTTTGACCGGTTTGAAGTTCGCGCTGAAACGGAGCTCCATGAAAGCAGGAACACAGAGGAAAAAAATATTACAGAAATTCGCAATATTTTGTGAGTTATTAGCAAAATAAATATTTCAGAAAACAACTTTAAATACGCAAAACATTCCGCTTCATGACGTAAAATGAAACACTTTAGCGATTGGAGCAAAGCGGTTGGCCAATTGGACGCGAGTTTGGTTGATAGCCCCTCAGCCCGCTCTCTCTCTCTCCCAGTTGGGCCCGGTCGGCTCGTCGGCCATTAGGCCTAGCTGTAACCATAGTAGCTTTGGGATCGGGTTGCCATCATCGATGAATTTACCAGGCTTATCGGATTTTGAATGCGGATCTGGGCGTCGCGCCGTACGAGTACACTCCACGCAAGCGCCGCGACGCGTCTCTGCCTCAGTCCGCGTCGACAGCCGCGGAAGACTCGTCTCCCGCAACTCCGCCACCGGAGCCACCTCGGCGAGTAGGAGGTACAAACTGGTGAGCGGTCGGGCACCATATAAGCTGGGTCCCGTCGCCGCACTTCACTCGAACCGTGAAAAGTCTGTCACAGCACTAAAAGAAAATAATGGTTCCCCTGGCTCCTCTTACTGCTTTTAGTTGACTGGGACCGGGGGCGCATAAGTGAAAATACGATGCGCGTTGTCTGCACGGATCACTTGTCGTCTGCTCGCGATGGTACGTCGCGGACGCCGCTAGAAGGCGCGCATGAGCGACGAGGCGTTGTTTTCGCCCTTTTTGAACTTTACTTTGCAACTTTAGTAGCTCTATAAAAAGGACTTGTTAGAGAAATAATGACAGTTAACGTGTGATATACTTTATTTCGCTTCAAAATTCCTGGGACGGCTCTCGCCAATCACGAAACCAAGAGAATGTGACGTATTGTGAAAGGGAGCGCCGTTATGCGCGCGCATTCGGCACCTCGCGGCGCCACCGTCGGAGGAGGTGTTTCTGAGTTGTCAAATTAAAATATGATGCGCTAATATTTTTAAACTATTTCGTTGTCCACTGGGTTTCCGGGACCACTAGCGTGTAGAAACCACAAAAAAAAGTCGACGATCAAATACTGTTTGAGGGTTCCTATAAGCTACAGCGCTAGAAAACGCGGTGGCGGTTCAGCTAACTAGGGAAAGTACTAAATAAGCAAAAGCAAATGCGGCGCGCTCGCGCTGCCTCGGATGACCTGGTCGCGACCAATCACAGGTCGAGGAGAAGTGGCCGTGCGCGTTGCATGTCGGTCGTGCCGGGCTCCTTCTATCTGCAAATATGGCGCCGGTGGTGATTGTCGACGTGGACGGCGTGGTGGAAGCTCATCGTTCCGCGTAAAAGCGCTACCCTTGACTGAATTTTTGTCGTGTGTCGCTATAACCCAGCACGTTAGAAGGGAATATCCACCTACTCGTGCGGCGATGTCGTGGCGGCACTCGTAAGACAGCAGAAACGCCCGTGTCGTCGTGTTTGATTACTTCGATACAGTGGTGCTTTCTAAGCATTTGTGTCCTCGAGCATCGCCCGGATTTCTGATTTGGCGCATTTCAAGCGTGTGCTCAAGTTCAAGGCATTACTGGCGCGTACTGTATAAAGGATGCGAATTTTCACGAATTTTCATCACCGGAGAAAAGTGATTAGTGTTAGCAATCCTGAACGCTCGCAACGTCTCTCTGATCAAAAAATCATATTTTTACGTTGCTATATCGCTGCTAAGAATACATCGTTTTTTATAATCGTAGAAAAGGCGTGTGGCGAGACTTGCACTATTGGCAAAGTCGTGTATTAGGGTCGCGATCGTCCAAGACGGCGTACTGCATCTTTTTCTTTTCTTTTTTTCATCCACTATACCCTGCAAGCCTATCATGAAAAAAAAAAGTAATAATAAAGCTTTAGGCTATAGAAAACTGTCTTTCTGTATTCTGTTACGGCATTGCGTGGCAGTGCATGCGTCCCTTTTTAGAGGCACCGCTGAAACAGCTGACGGCGGCGTAGAAGCGGTCGCCGTGCTGACGACCCGCTGCGCTTGTTGCAGTGGTTGCAGGTATGTGTACGCGCGGCGCAGAGCGGTCGTTCCGGTCGCTCCGGTTGCAACGGACGCAGTCGTAGATAACGCGCTCGTTGCACATGTCTGAACCAGCCTTAATACACCCCGCCATTACCCCACTGCACCGGCCAAAAAGGGCGATTCCGCCGCCGTCCTCGCTGAGAGCCGTCCTCTTATCGCAAACAATAAACAACGAGCGCGAAAGGGTCATTGTCGTCTCCTGAGTGAGACAAGACCAGTTTTTAAGCCTTTCGCGACGGCGTAGGACCCGGTGCGCTGCTACGCAGCAGGTCGCCGCAAGAGGCTTAAAAACTGGTTTTGTATCAGTCGGTCCTACTTGGGGTGCCTACATGTTTCCGCTCCGCTTTAGGGTGGCGCCAACTTCTTTTCACTCTTTCCCAGATCCTCTCCCACCGCCATTTTTTCCCACTTCTTAGCTCGCTAAACGTACACAACGTTGAGTTTCTGTAGTCTCGACACACCAGCAACACTGTGAGGCCACTTCCGTCTCCGTTCATGTCGGAGGCTCAGCGGGATGGCGGTGTCCGTGGCTGTCGCTCTCTTTCTTCGGGTGTTTCATATTGTGAAGTTGCGAGCAGGAAGTGTGCGTTGCTTTTATCGAAAAGTGAGTTCCCGCGACAAAATGGAACGCCACAGACCGGCATTGAACTCCGAAACCTCGCCGTCGGAACAAGAGCGGTGAGCGCTCCCTAGCCCTATCGAGGATTAGCGGCGTAGTCCGAGCGCACGACCGGCGAGTGAGACAAAAAGGTCGACGAAATCAGCGGAGGTTGCCATGGTAACGAGGTAGGCAAAACTGGCTTCTCGGCAACAGGTACCACAAACGTTGTCGCCACCCTAAACAGCGGAGCGGCGGAAACATGTAGGCACCCTATAGTCCTACTCGGTTGCAAGTGTGTGAACGAGCAATTCACACACTTGCATCGATTCCGACCGAGTGCCAGGGCTGCTACGGCGACAGCTGCGTCGGCTCCAACAAAACCGGTTTTTACCCCGTTTTGTTGGAGCCAACCGAGCAGTTGCCACAGCAACCCTCGCGCTAGGTAGTGCTGAACGCGAGTGTGCGAATCGACCTTTAATCGCCCTTTAGGTTGCGTCGCGTGGCCGGCGGGGAGCGATATCACTCGCTGTCCAATCGGATGAAAGGAAGATCGGCGATTGGCGATATGAGAGCACTGCGCATTCGCAGACCCAGATAGTTCTTGAAAAAGCGCGATTATCTTTCTCGCACTCCGTATCAAGCTCAGTCCGACCACGGTCAACGATCCGACGGCGTGCACTAATCAAGCCGCGACAAAGTTTCATCGTCACGGCGATCGTCCTGTTCGTGCCTTCGCTATCGCCGGATAAACTAATCAGGGAATGCGCCGCGACACGGTGATGTTTATGTGCGTGATCGGGTCAGCAGATGATTGCGAACGAACAATAATGTGTTTGTGTAGGCGTTGGATGAAGATAATAGGGGGAAAAGTTAGAGCCAATAGTGTACACGCACAGGGGGCATTTGTCACTGGCTCTCTTTCGGGCGAAGATGGGGAGTGGGATGTAAAAGCGGGGGGGGGGGGGGGGGGGGGGGGGGAAGGGGAAGGAAGGGGGAAGTAGGTGGAGCGCCGTGACGTTGTATTTTCAGCCCGGCCAGATTGACTTCATCGGATCGGATACTGTTGGCTGTGGTCGAATTTAACGTGCAACGGAGTTGTGGTTGACGTGTTTTGGTGCGCACAGTCGTGACTGATTTTCCGGTTTTTTTTGTTTTTTTTTTTTTTTACGTTGCTTTCAGAGACCTGCATTCAATTCAAGCGGACGTCATAAACATGACCGAGAAGACTCCGCTCATTCCGCCGAGACTCTTGGAACAGACGACATTCTCGGCGTCTTGGAGCTTCCCCAGCGTATCTGTGCGTTCGCTGGATTATGACGCGGGCAGAAGAGCCGGCCGTCGCCGGCTCCACCTGGCCGTGTTTGCGGCCACCATGGCGACCATGTCGAACGGCTTCTCCATCGGGTACTCATCGTCGGCGCTGCCCGATCTCCGACAGCGCATGGGCCTGAATGACGACCAGGGTGACTGGTTCGGCTCGGTGCTCAACATGGGTGCTATGGTCGGTGCCCTCGCTGGCGGTAAGACATATCGAAACACACGTTCCGCGTTGTATCTACACGGCCTTTCCGAGCGCTAGTCGGGCATACAAAAATCGTATAAGTAAATAAATTAACGAAGTTAATTATAAATGTAGTTTACAAAAAACGAACAAAAACAAAGAAAACCTGAAAAAAAACAACGTTTCTTTTTTTTTTTTTTTTGTTGGTAAAAAAAAGAGGGAAAACGTCTAACACGGCCCGGTTGACGCTGCTACTCACGCTCGGATCTGCTTGAGCTGCTTTAGAGTATCACTTTAAAGGGGTGTGGGCAACAATTTTCGTACTTAGCCTGAATACTGCCTTGAACAAATCCCTGACGTTTTTGATCAATGAAACACGCGTCCCTTTTTCTGCCCACGCAATAGAAGTCGCAGGAAAAATTAAACAAAAACGAGCAGGGTCAACAGCTGCAGCGTCAACACCTGCAGACTGATAAAGTCGAGCGCCTTTTAACTCGCCGATTTTACGTGGTAGATTAACTTGAAAAGCGTGTTGTCTGGTAGCAATACAATGTTTTCTCTCTTTTTTTTTGCGAACGGTTAAAACAAGAATGGCGCATCGTTCCATTTTGTCCATTCGCTGGTTCATTTTGTCGCGCAAATCATTGTTCCGCGCGTGAAAGAAACTGCAGAAACTTTGCCCGGCTGACGCGACACAGGTTTCGGTACTCCTCCGGGTTCATGTCAAGAAGCTTCCATCAAAACTCGTCTAGCACGCCGCGATAATTCTTGCACGTCCAATCAGCAGTTATACGAGCAAGACCTTTCTTGTGATTGTGGTTGTGTGTGTTGTTCACAAAGACATCTCCAAACACCTCTCTGCAAGCCCAGAACTTCGTCTCTTTTATACGCCGAAGCCTTCTCGAGCAGAACCATGCCTGTGTCATTAATAATAATAGTAATAATAATAATAATAATAATAATAATAATAATATTTATTTGCATACAAAAAATCTGATCCTGAGTGGCGTGCACGGCTGTGCAGAAAGGTTGAAACCCGTACGCGAGTGCGCCTGCCAGCCCGCCACCCAGGATGTGACAAAAAAAAACAAAAAAACACACGCACACGTATACCAAATTTGTACACAGGGCTGTAACCCAAAATGTTTTAAAAGAAAAATGAGGGTGAAATGTAGAGAGTAAGTTGACTCACACACACACAAACACACACTACACTACACCACTGTTATGACGCCTGCTGCTGTAGGTGCTTTGAAAACAAGCGACACATCGACACAGATTCAGTACGGTCCTGGGGAAGCGGCGAACGTATCCTGAGCGGGGCCGAGATGAAGTCCTCGATGCCGGCTAAGATCGGCGAGGAACTGTGGCGTTTGGTACGCGCTCGAATAAGTTCAGGCTGTCCCGATCTCTTGTTAATCCTTGGGATGGTCGCAAGGTACGTCCCTTTGAGCAAGCCGTCGAGAAGTCGGCAGGTAAGGCCCACCCTGGCGACTCTTCTTCGATGAGCCAGGGAATGCCATTTGAGATCCTTAAGCCGACTGGCGTAGGGCAACGCAGGATTGTGTTGGCGAGTAAAGTATGTCCGAGTAGCACGCCGCTGCACGCTTTCCAGGCTGTCAACCAAATTAGTTTGATGTGGGCAGGGGTACCACACCGCACTACAGTACTCGAGATGCGGAAGAACGAGCGCGGTGTATAGTACACGGAAGGTGGTAGGACCGCACGCTTTGGAAACTCGTGTCACAAATCCCAAAAGACGTCGGGCTTTGGCAACAGCATTGGCAACGTGCAGAGAGAATTTTAAGTTAGGGGTAAACGTCACACCCAGAATTGGTAATGATGTGACCAATGTAAGAGGTATTGCAGACACAGTGTACAAAGGGGCTCCTGAGCTGCGGCTGTGACTGACCCGCATGACTGCACACTTGGATGGGTTAAGAAGAAGGCAGTTTGAGACGGACCACTGCTGCACTATAGACAGGTTCCGCTGAAGGTTGGGACAGCTTGCGCGAGGTGTAGTTCGTGCAAGCAGAGTGATGTCGTCAGCATATTGGACTATCTGCGTGTCGATAGATTGGGAAAGATCGTTGGTGTATGTGGAAAAGAGAGTAGGGCCAAGGACGGATCCCTGAGGAACCCCTGCTGAGACGGCGAAACTCTCGGAACGGGATCCTTGAAAGAGGACCTGGTGTGTGCGGCCAGTAAGGAACCAAGCTAACCACCGAAGCAAAGGACCGCGGACGCCTGCCCTTCCTAGTTTCCGAAGGAGTATAGCATGGTTCAGCGTGTCAAACGCATTGCTAAAATCTAGTTGCACCATATCAGTCGAAATACCACGGTCAAGGTTGTCACTGACGTAGTGCATGATCGTAGCCAGTGCTGTTTCAAGCTCCTGTTCTTCCTGAAGCCGTGCTGTGTGGGAGAAAGGACGTTGTTTTCCTCGTAGAATTCAAGCAGCTTACTGTTGATCATGCGCTCAAACGTCCGACACAGTATAGACGTGATGGACACAGGGCGGTAGTTGCATGCAGAGTATGTTGATTTTCCTCTGCCCTTGTGAATGGGGGAGATGAAAGCCCGCTTCCATGTGTCCGGAACAAAAGCATTGTCTGCAAATGATTGCAGCATGTTCAGCAGGGGATGCGAGACGAGAGGGTAAAGCAGCTTGAGGAAAGTGGGAGCAAGGTGGTCAGGTCCGACGGAGCGTGATGACTTGAGGCGTTCAATGGCACTTTGTAGATCTTCAGGAGAAAACTGAATGGTGGAGAGTACAGTGGTGGGGCAGATGGTGCTTGCTTCCACGTCATCAACAAGCGTGTCCACATCGAGGTCACCTGAGTGGCTACCGTAGACCGACGAGAACTGTGTGGCGAAGAGTTGGGCAATATCTCGGGGAGCCGTTACGCGGCGATCACCTGATAGGAGGCACGGTTTGTGAGGGGTGGACCGCTGTCAACTAACGAATGCCCAAAACAATTGAGGATCGTCCTTGATCTTTCCGGCGATAATGCGTGAATAGTTAGTTAAATGAAACGTAAATTGCAGTTTTCAGAAGCCTTTGGAGCTGCTTAGGTTCTTGGAATAAGACAGGACAGTGCATGCGGGCAGCTTTTTTAAACAGAGTCCGCTTCCTACGGGCCATCTTCAGTAAATCAGTGGTCATCCATGGGGACCGCTTTCGTCGCGCTGAACTTGAGGTGCTTGGAACGCACTCTTGCTGAATAGCGGCGACAAGGTCGCACCAGAGGTCGTAGTTTGATACACAGTCAGACCCTGTGGTGGTGATACACCACGGAACAAGGTGGGCCAGTTGGGACATATGGGCATGATCTGTGTTGGCATAATTCCAAAAAGTTCGGGCGATCCGTCCCGTGCGGGGCAGCGTGGTGAGTTATGTCAGCTCAATTGCGGAGTGGTCACTTCCAGTGAGGCCGGGAATGACATCGCAAGCCCGAACTTTTGCAATGTCCGAAACGAACGCCAAATCAAGGAAGCTAGTATTGCCGTCGTTTGACGTGTGTGTAGGTGCCCGACATACTTGGTAGAGTCCGGCGGAAGACACTGCGTCAAGAAGAAGGTCATCGACTCGGTCGCCAGGAACTGCCTCATCATGACCCCACCAGTCGATATGAGCGTTGAAGTCGCCCATTATCAGGATGTCTTTGTACGTCTTTTTCGCTGCGCGGGTCATTGAAGCGTCAAGGTGTTTGTACGCAGATTCTTTGTTGTGAGGTGGACAATAAACGCAGCCGAGAAGTATCGTACCGCGTGGCAGCAATAGTTCGAGAAACAGCGCTTCAAGTTCAGGATGTTCCAAATCATCGCGGCGTATCGCGCTGAGTCCTGACGGGACAGCGATTAATATACCTCTTCCTCTGCTCTGACGGTCTTTGCGGAATACAGCGTGCGACGAAAGGTCCAAAAACTCACCGTCATGCACGCCTGGGTCGAGCCAGGACTCCGTGAGCAGTACTACCGCGTTAGGCGGCAATGCTGCCACCGTCATGCGCAAGTCGGTAACCTTGTTTTTCACACTGCGGCAGTCGGTATACCAGAGTGTGAGGCTCTTGTTGGTGCCATATGAGGCAGGCCCAACAGCTTTGATAGGCCGAGTAGCTTTACAGGGGATGGAGCTTCCGGGGGCGCACACTGTTGAGGCGCTTGCTACATCGAGGGACGGTTCCGTAAAAAGGTCATCGTCAAAGACAGGGAAAGAGCACGCGATGCAGTGCCACTGATCGGAAGATTTGCTGAGCTTGCGGTACTGCGGCAGAGTCATATAAACGCATGATCGATGACACCAGTGATCACAGGAATCACAGCGTAGGGCAGCTTGGGTGTCGCGAATTCGCCTGTCACAGCGCCGGCAGACCGCCCCAGGACCAGGGTTCGGTTCAACGTCACCACTGATGACCAGCGATGGACGGGCCACGATCGACGGCGGCGATGGTGCCGCGGAGGAACACAGTAGAAGAAGAATGACCCACCGAGCACGTATATGACGTCCAGTTGTTCTGTAGCTAGGTGTGGCCGTTAGGCCTGACTGGCTGGAGAGGACGCAAGACCCTTGCAGCCGAGGAAATATAAGGACCTTGGGAGACCGGCTGGCTATCACCAGTAAGGCGTCTTGGGAACTGCAGAAGGATGGCGCTGCAGATGAAAGGCACTAAGCCCGCCACACCGCGAAAATGCGGACCTTGGTGCCTGTGCGACAACTCTGCGGCCATCTTCCTCTTCTTGTGCTACTAAAGCTATAGTGGCTCTTCGCGCGAAGCCTATCGCGGTGCTCTGCCTTTATCTGTACGTAACCGCGGCGTGCTGTTCTTTATAGCGGTAGCAAACATCGATTTCTCTCTTGGACAGCCACCACGGTGGGATGTTGGAGTTTCCCGGCACTGCGGGCTGGCGAACAGGTTCGGTGCGTCCTCGGTGGCGTCTGCTCGTCGTCTCCCACATGTGGATGCGCTTCAGAGACGAACGAACCGCGGGCAGGTCGCCACGTGATCAATCCGTACGCAGATCAGTCCGTCGTGGTAATCGGCCATTTGTAGTGCTTAGATTTTCTGAATAGGCTCCCTATGGGAGCCAGAGTTGCGCTTCTGTTTTCCACACGTTGCCGCGCCGCTATTCGTCGAGATCCGCTCATGTGAGGAGCCGGATCAAATACCGTGCAGGAAAGTAGACGGTGCACGCGCCCCAGTGTACGTTCCCCTGATTTTGAGCGCGCGGCGCGCCTCGAACGCGCGGCGCCGTCATTCGACGAATTCAGTCACGTGAAGAGCACGATCCACATGCCGTGCAGGAAAGACGGCGCTACGGGGATGAACGCCCAACTCTGGCTCCTGTAGGAACTCTAGTGGCGCTTAGAGTTCCTTTATATAGCTACCTACGGTAGCTATATAAAGCGCTACTAGAGTTCCTCGATATGCTCCCCCTTCGGGGGAGCATATCGAGGAACTCTAGTGGCGCTTAAAGCCCCTTAATGTTCCAAAAGTAGCGCAAAGTCCGTCGATGCACGAAGCACGTGACGCCTTTGGGAAGATCATGGCGGCACAGCGCAGCACTGAGCTGGATTTCAGACGCCATGAAGTTCCCAGAATCGGTGTGCGGCACGTGCCTCGAGCATGTCTACAACAATAAATGGCGCCACTTTTCCCAAGGTAGAGGGGCTTTAGTGGCGCTAGCGATGTTGCGCCATCTTACGGGTTTGCCAAAAGTATGAGCGAACCTGCGCCACACATGCTCCATGAAGAAATAGCGGTGGTCAGACACCCTTCCAACGTGAACGAGACTCTGAAATGTGCATGAGAGTATACTTCCCTCGTGAGCACCCAGAAAGCCAAACTTTAGCGTTTTGAATAATCTTAGAATACAAAGGAAACGTACAGTCTCGCACTCCAATCATCATGCGGTCTGGTGACGAAAGGGGGTCCCTTCCTTTCACCAGTCAAACTGCATCACCATTGGAGACTCCTATCGATCACCGTTTTCATTATCTGAACAAATCCAACAATGCCAGATAATTGTTGCTCCGAGTGCATAGCGGGGCAAATATACACTCAGGTATTTCTCAAGGCTTGCTTCTAGTTAATACCTGAGCGTGACACTAAATTGCCATCTGACGGAGAGAATGAACAATTGATGCGCCATGCTCGTTTCCCATGATCACGTCACGGATTTGAGCCAAACCCTATTTTTATTAACTGAATGTGAATTTGCATTGTTTTCTATTGTTTAGCGCGAAAGCCTTTGTTAAAATAGGACGTGGAACGGCCTAACCCTAAACGATTGTGACAGTCTGTTTTTAATCTTGCAGGTCAACTCCTCAAGCTCATCGGCCGCAAATACACATTGCTGGCTGCCTGCCCCGTCAATGCCACCGGCTGGCTCTGCATAATCGCGGCTTCAGTTCCTGGTGTCCTTTACTTCGGTCGTGTCGTCAGGGGCTTCTCCATGGGCCTAATGTCCCTCACGGTTCCCGTCTTCATCTCCGAAATCAGTCCCAAGGACATCCGCGGTCTGCTCCTCGCTACCTCCACACTCTCTTTCACACTGGGAGTGCTCTTGTCAAGCGTTTTAGGAAAATGGATGGGCTACGAATGGCTCGCGATATCCTGCATGATCCCCGAAGTCCTGATGGCCCTGACTTTACCATGGGTCGCGGACTCGCCACGATGGCTCCTCCAGGTCAACCGCGAAGAAGACGCTTCGCGATCCCTGCAGTTCTACCGCGGGCCCGACGTGGATGAAGAGTTCAAAGCTATGAAGGCCAACGTCGCTGATATCGGACAGTTCAGAATGTCCGAGCTGAAGCAACCCTACCTCTACAAGCCCCTGCTGTACACCCTACTGGTGTTGTTCCTGCAGCAGTTTTCGGGAGTCGCCGTTCTGCTGGTGTACACTCGCGACGTATTTGTCATGTCCGGGTCGACTCTTTCCGCGGCCGACAGTTCCATAATCATGAACGCCGTTCCGGTCCTCAGTGTAGGTGCGGCCGCGGTACTCACCGACCGACTCGGGCGCAGGATACTCTTGCTTATCTCGCTGGCCGTGTCGGGGCTCAGCTTGGCCGCGGTTGGAGCCTTCTACCACTTCAAGCAAATCAGAGACGAGGTGAGCTTTGTCCAGTCCTTTGGCTGGCTGCCCCTGGCCTCCCTCTGTGTGTTCTTCCTCGGATTTTCGGTGGGACTTCGTCCATTAGCATACATCCTGATGGGCGAGATGCTGCCACTAAGAATAAGAAGCTTCGCTGCCGGTACACTCATGTGCTTTTTCTATGCTTGTGCAACGCTCACGACGAAAGAGTACCATGACATGTTGACGTTCTTTGGACAAGATGGTCTCTTCTGGTTCTACGGGAGCGTCATGGCCGCCGGCTTCGTCATGGTGATGGTCCTGCTGCCCGAAACCAAGGGGAAATCGTTGGAAGAAATTGAGCAGCTTTTCGGAAAGAAGCAGGAAGTGCACAGTGAAACTGGGTGATTTTGACTTTGATGTGGTTCAGCCACGCGACATCTAATAGGAACACCGTGAATTTCAGTGCAAAATGGCACAGATAGGACGCGTGGTTTCGAAACGAAACCACCACTTTCCTGTCCGCTGTTTTGTTCTAGGTTCCACATTCATATTTTATTCTACGTTCAGCACAATGATTCCATTGAAAATCTATGGCCTTACTGTACGCCACTGAATATATTGATGACCATGAATATGGCTAAGGTGTTAGTTCTGGGCCGCAGTACGAATTAAATAAACACGTTAACTCGCAATTTCCTTAAGACACCAATAGACAAGGTTCTGTAGGTTCCGTGATGCCTTAGTTTGCTTTGGAGAGTGGAAACGCAGAGACCTTGATAATATAGAGTTCAAGAAGGGTCATGACGACTTTTTAACACCATGCATCGAGATCGGCAACTCACAGATGCAGTTAAAGAAGTTATCCTCGTATATAGCTGTTTTTGCAATAACGCGCTGCAACATCGGCGTAATATTTAATAGAACGGCCATCACCGTAATCCGATGCTCACTTAGCTGCGCCACTCACGGTAAGAAATTGGCCGCTGAGCAGAGATAACCAATAACTCAGTAGTTTAATGTCAGGATCTCACCGACGCTGACAACCGAATAGCGAGCAGTCATTTGAACACGCGGTAAGCGAACATGGCACGTCATTGCTAATGTCTTCCTAATATTCTAACTGCTGACACTTACCCAAAATTGAGCGTTATCCTGTAGAAGCCGAAACAAAGCAATAACAAACAATAATTCGTCATCGCTTTTGTATTTATAAAAAAAATATAACAAGATTGGAAACAACGTAATGACCTATCCACGTTCAAAAAGAAAGTATCTGCAAGTTATCTCTACCTCTCTGCTACGCGGTGTTTTAGATGCAAACAAATGCCGCCACTCCATTTATCTGGTATTACAACCAACAGAGTGTACTAAGGGCAGTGGTATGAACACCGGCACTTGGCGTGAACGTGTGACATACAAATCAACACTCGCGCCACTTACCGGACCTGTCGGTAAACCGGCATTCTCTCGATAGCACCGCAGAAATCATCGAACAGTTGTGTACAGGAAGTATTACAGCTGAGTCATTTAGAAATTTCTCTGCACAACGAGCAAAGAGCGTTAGACATTTATGGAACAAAGTAGCGTTTTTCTTTCTAAACCTACGCGCTGTTAACAAAAAGAAAAAAAGTACGCGTTTAGTTACACAAGTTGCAGGAACATCGCGTGCGTAGAAACCTGATTCGAGTATAAAGCGAAGTGCCTGCGCCGATAGCAGAGTCATTGATACTGTCGGCGCATCAGTATCACTGTATATCGTTGTCGTGTCTGTTTAGCGGGAAGCATGAAGTTCAGAAACGCACCTTCAGGACTATGTGACAAACCAACAAACAAATCCACAGCAACGACGCTAACCTTTTTGTTTTCTCGCGCACTTTGACAGTTTTTTTATTTGAACCTGGGCTCAACGACAAGGCCGACAAAGCACCCCCCCCCCCCCTTCCCTCCCTCGACCTTGACAATTGTTTAAAACAACTAAAAACATTGTCAGAATAAAGAAAAAAGATATATAATTTAATCATGTATATTTTGAAGTTTGTTCGTCATCTTTTTGAAAAGTTGCTTTAAGTTTGTTACATGGCTCGTGTGAAAGAGTCTAAAAACAACCAATAGGGCGAGTTTCCAAGATCTATACAATTTTGATTTGCTGTTTTCTCATAAGATTGTAAGGGGTGTCCTTAATCTCTCTCTTACTACTCAATTCTGTATTTTGCGGGCCTTCCAATGGTTTCATCGTTTGCTACTGGTGCATACAAATTCCCAATTTGCCTGCGTTACGGCTGGCTAATGCTATGCATGAGATAGCAGCGACATTTTAAAACCATTCATTGATATTTTAAAGGGGTCATGAAACGATTTTCCTACTTCTTCCTTCTTAGCTTTAATCCTCAACTCAAATGCGAATTGTGAAATCGCGTGGTCGTGACATTCCTTCGGCACCGGTGCGATGACTCCTAGCTTCCACCGTGCTTTTTATGCACACCATAGAACTTGTCATTCCCCAATGACAATAAGTTCCGTTAGGGCACTCATTGGCCACGAACGCGAATCCAAATATTCGTCGACGGATTGATTGTTGACGAGCGCATACGTCCGAGTGACGCAGTTCTCGTGTCCAATGCGTGAGCTGGGCTCTGCTGACGTCAGTTTGGCGCCGGTGACGCGCTTTTGGAACCGCGGATGTATCATAGTGAAAAGGCGGAGAGCTTTCGAAGGCAAGAAGGTACAAAATAGTCCGCTATATTTTCAATTGTTCGTACCGAAAAACTGGCCTTTGACTTTCTAGCCTCTCTCTTTTGGCCAACTAAACGATATGCGATTAGTAAAGTCCCAATTTAAAATCATTCATCCCAACCCAAAATTCGTTTCATGGCCCCTTTAATTTAAAATCGTACGGAAACGAAATCTGTGTACTAATGTCTTTGTTTAGATGTGGTCTGCGTTTTGCAGGCTGCCGAGAAACACTAGTCTAGACTAGCGTTTCTGGGCTGTCGGCAGAAAAGTCAAGAAAACTAATTTTAAAACGAATAAAAAGATTTCGAAATTGCTTCTGGTGGCGGTTTGTCAATCTCCATTTAATGCAGCCACGTCATGAGTTTCCAAGAGGCAGCGCCAGTTCGTGGCAGTATGGCTCGCTCGTGGAGTTACATAGTCCTGAATGTAACTTGGCGGAGAACGCTAACGGGTTTACTACGTTGTATTTGTTAAAGCTTCCACAGTGCTTCCGCAACGAACATTCCACAGCATCAAGAAAGCCGTTTTTTGCAGACATTGGGTAGAAACTTGATTTCAGGATGCGGGACCTCTTCCAAACCTACCAAACTGCCCCCCCCCCCCCCTCATCCCCTGGATGCGCTGTGAATAGCGCGCTCACATATAACACCCAGTGAATACCTTATATACATATATCTTGCAAGCGTCGCCATTGCTGGGGACTGATAGCTATTTAAACTTACTTGATTTCTCGAGCCACTACTTCTCCGGTTTAAAACTAACACGGTGATCTGAACGGTTGTGGCACATAAAATACCGGCATGACCGCGAAGGACCGTTACGGGTAAGCTGTGTATATTTCCGTAGGGCGTGCAGTCCTTGGATATTACTACTAGGCTAGATTGTCACGCGTTGACGCCACCAAGCTGCAAGGCTCGCAACTACCGTACCCTTGGCCACGGTATCCTGACCTGCCGACAGAAGGGCCCCTATGGGCCCTTGTCGCTGGGCGGAGTGCCTGGTTTCTCCGTCGAGGGCGCGCGGTAAAGGTTCATCCTCATCATTCGCTGAGCTGATTTCCTAGATCCCAGAGATAGGCTCTTATAGTGTTTTGCGGGTAAGTAGACGCGCAGGCACTTCTTAGAGTGTACACATAAGCGTAAACTTTCACAAGTGCCCGTAAACAACCACAAAAAAGGAGTTATATTTTATTACGGCAAGCTAGAATAGAAAACATATTTTTTTTATTTGTGACAAAAAAATAAAATTTTGCTTTTTCATAAATAAAAAAAAAAGAAGAAAAGATGCCAGCAGCGGGCTAAAGCGAAAAATGCCGGAGTCAAGACGCTTCGCAACCGCCACTGACCGCTTAGAACTTTTGTGCCAAGCAAATGGTGCAACATGTTTTTGTACGTTGTTTTTGCCCAAGGAGAGTTGTACCCCAGAGTTTTGATGAAATCAAGACCTTTCTTTTCTCAATATCGGTATTTTCTTTTAATGTATTTTTTTTTTCTCAGAATAATGGTTTTATATCTTGATATTTTTATCGGAAGTTCGTATTTGGCAGGAATAATTTAGATGCCCTGGTCTGTGTAGCTTTGAAACTCGCTAATGCCATACATATCGAGGTAGAAGGCCTCAAAGTTAGTGTATTTGTTTCACCTGGCCTAAAGTTATGAATTTTTATATATTCTTAATTATACAGCACATAACATAATAATTACATGCAGCAGACTTAAACTTTGGTGTGTTATATGAAACGGAACATTTTGGGCGTACTACTCTTTGTCTGCCTTCCACTGAGGCACGTAGCCAGGATTCTGTTTCGGGGGGGGGGGGGGGGGGGGGGAGGGGGGGGCGCCCATGACAAAATGCTTTATGAGGGGGAGGGGGGAGACTAAGCTCCAGCAAGATGGAAGATTTCGGGAAGGTGGGGGGAGGGGGGAGGGCTCTATGCCCTCCCTCTCTGGCTACTTGCCTGCACTCTAAAAACATCTGTGCGTCTACTTTCCCGCACAACACTCGGAGAGCCAATCAGCGCAACTTACGGAGGCAGCTCCGCGAATGGCAATGGCGAAACATATGTTTAGACCAAAAAACGCAGTCTGAGTTGTGACATTAAGCAATGCAAGCGTGACGTTTTACATTGCTTAATGTCACAACTCAGACTGCGTTTTTTGGTCTAAACATATGTTTCGCCATCGTCATTCGCCGAGCTGTCTTCGTAAGTTGCCGTGATTGGCTCTTCGAATGTTGTGCGGGAAAGCGGATGCACGGGCTTTTTTTAGAGTGTACAGGATCGCAAAGTTGGCAACTATTGCAGTCCGCGGTGGGAGCAGGGCCGTCGCACAATCTTTAAGTTTTTTTGTTTTTTTTTCCTCTCGTAGTGAAAACGTGTTTTTGAGAGAAAAAACAAAAAAAGTCCAGTTTCGACCGATGCATTTGTGTGTACATCGCATAAAAAAAGAAAAAAAAATGGCGAGAGGACATGCAGGTTTCATCTCTCATGGAATCACCCTGCAGCAGCATGCGGTATGAACTGGAAGACCCATGTTCTTTCCACCAAATGCGCTTCGTCATACGTGCTGGATATCGCCACCCTTAAAAAGAAAGGTTCACACTACCACGGTAAAGTCTCAAGATAAAAGGCACGCTTGGCGGTTCTTGCAAGTACCGACACTCTTTGAAGAGCCGACTGCGTGACAGTGTAGAACTGAAACTTTGTACCCACAAAAAAGTTTCCCTCATGCGTGTTGGTCGTCGTTACTTGTAAAGGATAGTATAAAGGAACCTCATATCAAGACGCTATGTATTAGCTACAGCGAAGTGGGTAACAGAACAAACGCGAACGTCAACGTCCGAAACGCGGGCACTGCAGGTCTTCGGGTCCCAATCCAGACACCCCCAATAGTACGAGGGACCTCCCGTTCCGAAAACGGACGCGAGGACAATAATAATGACACCATTATCACCGACCTCGACGAAACTGAGCTGTCCCCCGCAATGCTGTATTGCGCCCCCGGGGTGCACTATAGTGATAAAGCAGTGCTAAATCCGGCTGCAATGAGGTGGTGGGGTTGAAGTCGCGCATACCAAGCGGTCGCAGAAGGACCGACAGAATGATAACAATACTCCATTTCTCCACTGGACCGCGCAAAAGCAAACGTGGAACCAGCAGCAAAACAGGACACACTGGTCAAACAGGCGCCGTCAACGCGCTCGGATTGAACGAGAGTCAGCGATACGAATGAGTCGCCGTGGTAACGCTTTATTGTCCGACCTTGTTGCGCGACAACTGGCGCGAGGAGAATCGCTAACGATGACGAGTCAATATTTGCGCACACCAATGAGCGGAGTGCGCGCGTGTTGCTATCGACTAAAAATAAAACACATTTTACGAGCTAATCGGTCATATCAAGAACGTATAAATGTACATATATATAAAATAATACACTTTCGAAAGCCATTGCACACAATGACGAAGAACTCACCACTCTCGCAGGCGAGTCAAGCTTGTAACTCCTTCGAATTAAAGTCACTGGATCTGGGAAAGTAGAGCCATTGCCTTCCCACCTGCTAGCCGGACACAAACAAATACCAACCTACAGATGACAAAACTTCACAAGGTGATTAACTCATCACTGTCGGTTGCTATGGCGATCGCCATTTTGTACCCTTTGAAAGCTTCAACCAAGTACGACCGAGAGAGCTTCGAAGCAACCGAGTACGACCGAGAGAGACGGGACCTTTTGAAGCCGCTTAAAATTTCTTAGGATGAGAGAACACACTGGCTCTCTGGCGCCATCTATGCGGTGACCCTGGAACTGCATTTCACAAGAGTGAAGGCTTTGCGGGATTTCCGAGGTCAAGTGTGCGTAATACCTATAAGAAAGGATCGTTTATAACGTTGACAAAAGTTTTTTGAGCCAAGAAAGAAAAGATTATGCGCGAGAGAAATAGAAAATATGCCGGACCGCCAAGTTTACACTGCTACCCAATAGATGGCGGTAGTGTGTCCTCTCGTTCAGAGCCGTTTATACTGAGAGAGTTTGGCCTTCTTAAGGAGATTTTGACAGTCTGACAACCAGATTTCGGGGAAAGAGATAAGATTTCTTAGTTCGGAGCTATCTCCCCGACAGCGACGACGCACCCTTGACGGCATAGTGCTCCTCCTTTCCACCCCCTTTTCATCCCCCCCCCCCCTTTTTATCCTGTATATAAGCAAACTCTTGGTGTTATTAAATGTTGTGGCCAGTTGGAAGTTTGTGTTTGTCCGTCCTTTCTCGTTTTCTTCCTCAAGTTTACTATCCATACCAACCCGCTCGTTCTGTCCCTGACAACCACAGCATGCGTAGTCTGACAACCGGGGGATGACTACTTCCGTCCGCCATATTGTGGAACTGACTCATAGAAACTCTACGCAATTTCACAGGAATGAACAAGACAAAGAAGTAACGCCATATTGTGTTATCGCGAAATCCGCTTGTTCTAGCGGCCAACAAGCTCCGCCCATCGGCCAAACTCTCTCAGTATAAACGGCTCTGCTCTGGCTGTAAGAGATATTAAGCAGTTCCAAGACACCAGGTTCTAAGAAGTCGCAAATGTGTGAACGGTCCTTAAGAATAAGGAAGAGATGTCCTGTCGTTTTCGCCTTGTCGGTGACTACAGCCGAATATTTGAACACCTTTGGCCGGTGTAACACCGGCTAGGGTAGCTAGTATTTTTAGTATATCCAGCATTGTCAACCTCAATCAAGGAGGGGGGGGGGGGGGGGAGGTATATTGTAATTTCTGTACTATCCAAATTTTGGGGAGGCAGATGTAAACAAACTGAACTAGCCTATAGAGTGGGCCCTGCTCGGACGAGAATGAGATGAAGCTGAAGAGTATCAATTCGAACGTGTTTATTTGACGAAATGAAGGTGTTAGTCCCACATGTTGGGACCGACTACCTGGAATCGAGGAGTGGACAGGAGACTTCATCTTTCGTGAGCGCGGTCATCCGGACTAGGTCCGGAAACCTTTTCACTAGGGATGCCGCGAACTTTTTTCGGACCGGAGTTTCGAAGAATCGAATCAAGCGGTTCGAAAGGTTCGAAAGATTTCGAATTTTCTATATCGTAAAATTCGGCAGAAGTCGAATTTTTGAACTTGGTAAGCTAAGAAGTTCGACGCTTTTCGAACCGTCCAACTTATTCCGCTAAAAATATCTATCCGTTTCGAACTTTCGACTTATCACGCTGCAAAATTCGATGCTTGTCGAACTTCCAAACTTGACCGACCAAAACATTCGATGATTTTCGAACTTCTTGCACTAAAAAGTTCGAAGCTTTTCAACTTTCTATGCTAAGGAATATCGATAAATTTCGAACTTTCGAATTTATTTATCAAGAGAATTCGAAAAGTTTCGACCTTTGAAATCCTGAAAACTCAGAAGTTCGACGAACTTCCAACTTCTAGGGTAAAACTAGATAACACACCCTAACTTTTCTAAACTTGATTTCGTGAAAACCAGTGAGTCGTGAAAACGTTATCTGAAACTGAAACTGGTGGAGGAACTTGAAAACCGGACTTCGAACTTTGAAAACTTGGATTTGAATGGAATTCAAAATCTTCAGTTTTTTTTTTTTTTTTTCGAATTTAGCGTTATAAGAAAATCGAAACCTTCGACCTTTTCGAACTTTATGCAGAGAGGAATTAGAAATCTTCGATTTCTTCGAACTTCAAGTCTATAAAAATTCGAAGCGTTCGAAGTTTTCGAATTGTATTTCCAAAGAATTTCGAAATCTTCGAACTTCAGATCCCAAGAAATTCAAATTTTTCGAATATCTCGAATTTCAAGTTAGAAAAGTAAGAAATCTTCGCACTTATCGAACCTCAAGTAAAAAATATTCGAAATAATCGAACCGAAATTTTAGAAACCGTGAAAGTTTCGAACTTCTCGAATTCGAAACTCCACTGAGATCGAAAGTGGCGAATTTTTCGAATTCGAACGTCGGTCGGTACGAAACTATCACAAATTTTCGAAATCGAACCTCAGTTCGCTTCGCAAATATCAAAACCTTTCGAAATCGAACCTAGGGTGGTTCGCGACATCCCTACTTTTCACCGACGCAACAAGTCGGGCCTTCGTCCCCATAGGGTGGCGGAGTCACAGCTTTTATCGCGGCATATTTATTCGCGAATGAAGCGAGCAGGGAGCAATACAAAGGGAGCGAAGAGAGTGCGCGAAAGGAGAGGATGGAGAGTGTTCATTGAGCAACTTTTGATAATGACGGCGTCCATGCTTACGGATGCTGCTGCCCTGCTTTCATGTGCCGTTAATTTGAGTATTTCTAGAACGGGTAACACAGCTAGGTATCTGACAATTCAACAAAACCAACTTCAACAACTTTATTTGTGCTGTCTTTATGTTGACATCACCTGACTGCAACGGGTTTTGTTAAACTCGAGCGTAACGCTTTTTGAATGAAATCCAGAACATAAACACATTGCGTGAAAAGGCTAGGAAGCCGACGAAAGACAAAGTGTGACAGAGCCATCATACACCTGCATATTTAGGCTGAAAAACGGAGTTTACTATATAAAGGAAATAACTGCCTGCTTTCAGTATCACAACACTGCGTTGTTTTGCAGGAGCTATGTGTCTGCCTCGAAGCAATATTCCAAAGTCTACGAAATGCGCGAAGTGCATCAGTGCAGATGTGAAAAGGAAAGCGGAAATATTGCCGAAAGCCAGGAATAAATTATGGAAGTGGAGCAAGCGGGAGCTTCTTAACTCTGCAATAGGGAGGCTCGGGTGAAGCCTTGGAAATGAGGCTGTTGGATGACAATTGCCAAATCACCGCTCAGGATCATCTTTAGAAGCTTAAAACAATTTGCACCTTGATTGAAAGGTGGTTTTCAAGCGAGGCAATTTAAGGTTAACTGCCAGTAAAGCGTGTTGATTGCCTACCCGAGTATAGAGATGCCATAGACACTCACGCACATACAGGCAGGTTGTGATAAATACCCGATGGCTGGTCTCATACTTTGTCAGCCGCCATCAGACCAGGAATTGCGATACCAAGACAGGGGAAAGGGGGGGGGGGGGGGGGGGGATCTCATACGGGAACACTAGATTAATGAAACAAAATACTAAAAAACAAAAAAAGTAGAGCAGCGTATACGAAGAAATAAATCATTACAGGAAACATTTTCTTTAAATTCAACGCAATTTATGTCGCTCGTTGAGAGCAGACAGATGCAGATGTAAACTGCGCTGCAGATGCCTCCAAGCCCGTAAAACCACAAATGGAGCGAGGAGACAGGTGCTAGCTTACATAAAACGCGAAGAGACAGACAGCGTGTTAGAATCAAAAGGCTGTACTCAAATTGCAAACTTGGCCGTTTTTTCTTTCAACAACGGACTTAATGACGGCGTTTTCAATGCGCGCGCGCGCGAAAAGCGAACAATCACGCCCCTCACGATGTGCCCCGAGTCGGCTGTTTTCGAAGCAAAATGAGCCACAAACTCAGTTGAGCCAGCTTCATCGAAGGCTGATGGGAAAGACTATACCTATAGTCAAAGCAAAGGTAGCACGTTCCGGCTGTATTACATATTTGTGTCAGACCGCGAGCATCTGCGAGGGCTTCCGATTAGCATTTTTCAGAAATCACAGCGCGCCTTGTCGGCACCGTAGTCCATAACGGAGAGAGTACGGAAATAACTAGAGTCACGGGACCGGATTCAGAGGCGCCCAGGGCCTACATTATTTGTTTGATACCCTAATATTCTGGATTTTTTTTTCTTTTTTTTTTTACTAGGTAAACCATGTTTTTGGCTCTTTTTGCTTCGAGCCGAACGTGAAACGTCGTGGCTCAACGAGACCCGAAAAGCCCCCTTTATTGTGGACAAACGCCGACTCTAAATTTCCAATGATTGTCACTCGCGCTGCACTATACTCCACCTCACAAGTGTCTGCAGTAAAACCAAAGGCATGGGCGCGTGAGCCTAGCTCAGCAGAATGCTTTTGTTTGGACGAGGACTCGCGCAAAGGAGGCATTTTCCGAAGCCACACCCTCGTGCCCATGCCTTTGTTTAGATTGCGGACGTTTGTGAGATGGAGTATAACGGAAGTAGCTGGTACAGCTCTATGGGCAAAACAGCACACGATCAAAATTAACAATAGCAGATGCCCCTGAAAAACAACATAACAAAGAACTCCAAGCCATGGATTCACACTTACTTATTACTTTCACAATATATTATATCTTCCGCGGCAATCACTAGCTCTCGAAAGCATGCTAGTCTCGATGAGTGAGAGACGTGCTTCAAAATCGCCGCGAGGCGACTATATTGCATTATGTCACAAGTCAGAGCGCAGTCACGGCCATGCAGACACACAAACACGTACACACAGAACGAAAGCGTAAAGTCATGGTGCACCCTGCGCGCTTGAGTGGATTTTCCGTCGAAAACACAAGCACGAGACAACGAACGCCACGAGGTGGCGCTTTTGGCGCTGCCCTAAGCTAAAATGGTAAAACAAAATGGCTAGGTGGCGTAAGCTACCACCCGATCGAAAAGGCTTAGCCGGATTCATCCATCCATCCATCTTATTGGCTACATTAGAGAGAATTAAAAGCGCTAAAAGACACGAAAGACAAGTAGGAGGACCTGCACCACAGAACACTTTTAATTTTTATCGCTTTGCGCTGTACGCTCTTCTACCTGTCCTTCGTGTATTTTAGCGCTTTTAATTCTCTACAATGTACGACCAATTCGCTCAAGTCTTCGGTTGTTTTGGCTGGTAAGGTTTGGCTCCCCTTTGACCTCAGGTGAAACCAAGTATAGGCCCCTTTTCGATAAGGTGTTCAAGAACATTCATAAAGCATATGTTTGTGCGCCTTCACATTTATTACGCATCTATCGATGGCGACGACCGAGTACTTGGTCCACTCTAGAAAGAGAGACGGCGACAACGAGCAAAACAATAATAGCCGGTGAGACTCAGGGGACCTAATTTGTTTGCAATATGCGAGTCTTCGGGGTCAGCGATGATCTAGAAACGACAAGAAAACAAGAGTAAACTATTCGACATGTGAAGAATAACTCCCCGCCAAAAATTGTTCCGGGCTTTACATAGCTCAAGCATTACAAAAAGAAGAGTACAGCCCATAACGGAACACAAACAAAGCGACCGTGGCAACTGCAACAGTCTATTCGCTTCTAAAAAGCCGGTGATTGGCGCACTTTCAGATGTCCCGCGATGCACTCGTAAAAATCGATCTTTTAATCAGCTTAGCAAATCGAAAGGGAAAGTGTTATCGAACCCCAATCGTTGTGCGGTCTTCGCGAATAAAGGTGTCCCCCCCTTCCCCTCCCCTCCCCCCCTCCCCCCTTTACAGCGGTAGCTGTTTGTGCCCCCTTTTCGGCGAAATCCGGTGCTGTTCGTACGCAGAAACTTACATGATCGTGGGGGAGAGAGCCAGTTCTGCCGCGATATCCCTCTCCCAATAGGCGACGATCCCTCGCGCATCCACCTCATCCTCTGCGAGACCGTCTCGCTCTGGATGAGTTGATGTGGAGAGAACCTCTCGTCAAGACTTTTTATTTGCTTTTTCTCCTACTCTCCCCTAGCCCCTCTTTTTCCCGAAGTTCAAAAACGCTCTCTTCGCGTTCAAAAAAAAAAAAAAAAAAAAAAATAGAGAAGAAAGGAGCGCGGCTCCGGATAACGTTTGGAGAGGCAACCACCAAACAGCCCCCCACCCCCCCCCCCCCCCCCCCTGTTCGCGAGGAAGAGGCAATCGAGAAAGTGTCAACAGCGAGCCGAACATAACGAGCTGCGGAAGAACGAGGCGGAGCCGAAGTGACAGAGACGGCGGGACAAGCACTTCGTCGCTCTCTTCGCTGCGGCGACTGGGCGAATTTCAGAGCGCATTCCTAGAGCAACCAACAAACCCCTTCGGGTGCTGTTGATGTTTGCTAATGAAACTGCATTAACGCCGGAGTGCGACACTGGTCGCCACCTCTCATTGACTGAACTGGTGTTTCGAGTGAACCACGGTCTGGTGTGCCCTCAAGGACCACTCAGAGCGTAGCGCTGAGTACAATCACGTTCGAGTCATAACGCTCGCTTTGTTATTTGTTCATTCCAGCCGTCTGTCACGACGGACTATGTTTACTATAGCAAAAAAAAAAAAAAAAGCTTACTTTGTAAAAGTTGTTTTTATTATTATTAAGTGAGGAAAGTTAAACAGCAATAGTGGGCAGAACAAATGAAGTGTAGACGTGGCATTAAAACCATATCTGTTTGTTAAAAGTATAAAATATTAATGCTCTCAGAATTCGTCCACAGCAGGAAACGAATGTTCTTGTCAGATTCAAGATAGAAAACGTGGTGGCATTCATTTGAGTTCACTCAAAAATCGAGAGAAGCCCAAATGCAAACCGTCGGCAAGTGCGAATGCTGATAAATATCGAGCACAGCTAGATTTTTTTTTTTTTTTGTACCAGATTCGCGTTTTGGTGAAAGCGCGTTTTAAGGGAGACACGATCAACCTCAAAGCCTGGTACATATTCAGTGGTTAAAATGTTGGAGAGTCACCCAAATTTGTTTATTTGAATTGAATCCTTCCAAATTTCGCATTGTACGAAGTCTTCCATGTAGTTGTACTAAGAGACGACATACTTTGAATAAAAACGTTTTCGAACATTTCGATTACCATAAAAAATGAAATCAAACAAAAACGTTTTCCGTTTTCCACATTCCATCTAGAACGTTTAGTCAAATATAAGAGGATGCACTTTCAAGATCTGCATTCTTCCAAAAGTTTGAGAAAAAAACAAATTAAAACAGTTTTCACGGAACTTGCGGCAATATACTGCAACGCTATCGCGTGCTTCCACTCGGCCATTTTCTGAACACAATTGAGCTACGCTTTTCTGCTTTCCTCCGCCCAATCCAGAATCGTAGATATACAGCTCAGGCTGATCGTCTTGTTTTGCCGTTTCGCGGACCTATTCGCTACTGTGTACTACGGACAAACAAACAAAAAAGCGTAGAGGCGTTGTTGATTTAATGATTTAATAAAAGTAACTACTACACTAGACCTTGAAAGCAGTGTTTACGGAAGCAGTTAGCCACGACAGAAAAAAGGCGAATCCTCGTGAGCCCTGCAAGAGATTCAGTACCAGGGGTAAAATAGTGTAACGCTAAAAATATCCTCGTAAATTCGTACTCGTATAAACGCATGCCGAGGCCGGCAATAGTGAGAGAGAAGGTATTCTGGCAGAACACTGCGGCCGCGAGATTCTAAAATTCGTTAATATATTATGCGAGTAGGAATATGCATGTTCATAATTTCGTAAGATCTGTTTTTGTAACACCCTAAGAAATCTGGAATGTCTGCACTCCCGCAAAGCACTTAGGAGAACTAAGCGCTGGAACCCACGGCTAAGGACGAGGCTGTAATTACGTTTGAACCTGAAGACAAAACAGTCTACGAGTGCTTGGCGGGAAAAGGAGACCCTCCGGATGTTTTAGAGTGCAATATCGGCATAGACCGATACATTTTCAATAGCACCTGATTGTACAATGCCCCGCGATGCACTCAGAACACCAATCATAGATTTTCTTTCGATCAGACTAGCCAATAAGGAAGGAAGGAAGAACGAGCCTCATTTTATCAAAAGAGGGTCAATGATTGGTCAATGATTGGTGTTATGAGCGCAGCGCGTTAAACTGTACACTCGGGGCCTTTTCTGTGTTCTCCTCGGGTGCCAACAAGGCCAGATGGTAGGGAAATTGCCACGTCCTGCGGCGACTGCGGACAAAAGATTTTCAAGTAGTTGTTCCATATTTGTAACATTGCGGTGGAAGAAAAAAGAAGCATAGAATAAAAAGAGAATCATCAGGTTTGTAATACAAATGCAGCACTTTCGGGGGAATCCGGAGCTATGTCAGACCTACCTAGCGCCTCTGTATACGGCATTCATAGATGCCAGGGCAATGGTACTGCATAGGCAAAGGGACGTACTATAGACTCACTGCGCCAGAAGCATTGATGGTATCTCCATTTTTGCCGTTTCGGTCTTTAAGGTCACCATGCCAACCGTATCGCTAACAGCTGTGTTAAATAGTTTTATCGCTATATTTATTCGAGCACGTTGATGCGGGCTGAGAAAGGTGTGGTGTGGAAATGCGCATATTAGGCTGATTATTAAAGTGGGATAAAAACGACAGTTGGACCTTGTTAGTTGGAAGTTTCCTTTGGACAGTTGGTGGACAGCGAACTTTGTGCGTGGGAAAGGGCACCTATTTGAAGGGCTATCCAAACAGCAGATGCCGTGCACGGAACTTGCTGTACCGAAAATGGAGGTTTCCCTCAATTCTAATTCACTTCAATACTTTTTTTTTTTTTTTGGGGGGGGGGGGGGGGGGGGTGAAAGGTATTATTTGTTTTTGTCCTTGGATAGGGGCTTGAAGCGTGCCCACCACGTAGCTCTGGCCAGCCACTCAGAAGCTCTGCTGGCTGTTGTCTAGGCCTCCGTTGTTCTCGGTCCCCAATAGCCCGAAAACAAGGAAGAGAAAGAGACAACAGCGAGGAGGAAAGTCGTGCTGTTTGCGTGGTTGAAGTCTTCATTGAAGACGGAAGCGCGCACCCCAGCTTCGCGCACGCTTTTACTGCCGTGCACGGCATTTGCTGCGCCCTGTTTGGAAAGCCCTTGTGCATCCGGAGGCAGTGGCAGATGACGGCCAAATCCTGTTCAAGCGCGATCGATAATTTTCAGTTGTCATGGAAACTGGGCAAGCTCGGACACTTCTCCGTGTTTACACATGTCCTCCTATTCTTTGACCAATCTTGGCGAGGTGGCCCGGAGAAAAGCGTGGCGTTACTCTGGCAGCTAAGCTGCCGTACGCAGTGGCTCTAGATCTACCTACCAACAGACGGGCAGGGACGTTGGGCAGATTATCATACACTGGGAACACCACGGCTCTCCGAAACCACTAACGAAAATGTTTGTTCCTGGAGTACTCTGATATACGTACGAACGGCTATCACTATGTTGAGTTAAAAGCTCATTTTGTGACGAAGTCTGTGACCACAGAGTCAGCGATATTGACCCTGGTTCGCTTTTGACGTTACACAAAATAAGGAAAAAAAATATTATTCTAAAAATTAGTACACTGCGTGACGCAGTGAGCCCGAACACGACATTGGTGCTTTTTCGCGTTTTATACAGCAAGGTTGTTGACGAACGCCACACTTTCCCGCCTAGTTCGGTGCCCAAGATGATCAGATTGAGTCTTCGTGACCTAATTTCCATTCCTAGAAAAATACGCAAAACACCGTCGATCGCTTGTTCGTGCTAACTGTGTCGCGTTCTGTACCTAAGTGAACATTTCCACTGCCTCACGATGCGAACGCACCACGTTCAGTCCTGTCACTAACCTTTTCTTTTTCAAACACAAAAAGTGGTATTCGCCTGAGTGCATGTTCTTCCGGAGCATATATATATATATATATTAAAAAAAAAAAAAAAAAAAGACAAGCCAAACACTGCATTCGTTATTCTCTCTCAGTCTAAACCTCGTTTTAACGCGCTACAAGTATCTCCATCACATGGGCAGAAAATGCGAGCCATTTGTAACATTGCTCAAGTCATGCATAAAAAGACACACTCGAGTCTACTATGTCAATTCGCATCACGAGGTGCTCTTTCGCTTCCATCAGAAAGCTATTCAGTGTCGCGCCGACTCGTCTTCTTCACCGTATCACAAAGAAACCTGCTTTCTAAAATTGGCTTACCGACCTCAAGGTATTATACATTCCTACTGCCGATTTAAGCAACCGACGAAGTCAGTTTGCTCAAAAGCACAAGACTCGCTTTTTCTAAGCAAATCTCACAGATTCGTTTCCCCCGTCCTAAATGCCATGGACAGCAAGTGGAGTTGCTAATGATGAAAAGCAGCAAAGACTGTGGTAAACCACCACTCGGAGAATGCTGAATCGCGCCACTCTCGGCACTGCGGGACCACGGCCATCAACATCCGAACGATCGATGACCAGAACACACGCCATAGCTGGTTGACGCCTCTGCTTGACCCGCACAGAGCACTCGGTCGTCGCTGAAAGCGTCTCGAAGAGCAGGATGAACCCATCCTGAGCAGAGGGTCGTTTTTTTTAAGTAAAACCAGGGCACCCCTCCAGGAAGGTGGGGCACCCCTTCAACCTAATCAGGAGCACTTGATCCTCCGATCACGCACTCTGCTCCACATGCTCCTCAGTTCCGAAGGAGTCATGATGTGCGCCGTGATGAGTTTCCGAAACACGCACGGGTTATTCTTCCGCTTGTAAAACTTGAAGGCGTCGTAATTGACGGGCTTGATGCCCACCTTCTGCGCCACCATGCCGGTGACGAAGATGTCCTCCATGTAGAAGAAAGGAGTCTCCAACGCTGTCCTGAACAGCTGTCCCAACACGTCCCCGGACATCACGTACCCCGTGCCGGAAAGGTAGTCCGGGTACGTGTGATGCGGGTACACGAACGGCGGCACGTACCACTTGGACGTCCAGTCGCGGATGGGAGTCGCGCCGCTGATGAGGCAACCCAGGAGCATCTTGCGGCCGCCCTTCTTGTTAAGATACGACACGAGGTTGGGCACGTTCACGTACATGTCGTCGTCCGTCTTGAGGATGTACCTCGTCTGGGGACACTGCTGGCCGGTCCACTTCAGCAGCACCACAGACTTGACCGTCAGGTTGTTGTAGGTGTCCATGAAGTCGGCCTGAATGACGTCGCCGAAGAGCCTGCTTTCGCGGACCACGTCTTCCTGCAGCGTCTCATTGTCGGTGCGTCCCAGCAGAAAGAAGGCGCGGACCAGAGGCGACCTGGCGTCCTGTCCCCAGGTGTCGCGGATGGCCCTTCTGGCCACGAAGTTGTTCACGGCCGAACAGATGACGACCGCCAAGAAGGAAGGGCACGGGTCCTTGGGGCTGAGGAGCAGCGACCCGTTCGAGATGAGCTGGCGGATGTCCTGCTGCGCAAGGAGCCAGGACATGTCCGGGCGGGGCCTGCCCGCGAGGCTACCGAAGCTAAGCGGCCGGTACAGCAGTCCGTAGCCGAACAGGAGGCACAGTGCGATGACAGTGATCCGGGGCAGCAGGCGCACCAGGGCTGTCGCCATGTCCTCCTGCGAAAAACGAGGGACAATGTCGGTAACACGGCATCGCCTGTCACTGAGCGTCCGACAATTCAGACAGCTCTAGTCGCTGGTGCAGAAAAACACGCCCAGCTAGGAACTGTTCTGGAATTCACTTTTGCACGTGAAAACTTGTCCACGCTCATCGAAAGTCAGTCGATGATAGAGAGTACGTTCGTATTGACTCGTCAATAAGCCCAGCTATCTTGTTGATGCGTAGACGTGCGTAAATTTCAGTACTGAAATTTCTCAAGAGCCCCGGCGTCTGTAGTCCCCATACATGACTTGGAGGGCCAATCAGTTTTCTATCAAAATTAACAGCCTTTTCTTGGACACCGACTAAGGCCGAAAGCTAAAGACGCCTCGGCCATGCAAGTATTCCCGGCGCTGCGGGCGTCGCAGCTGGAGCGAGGGACGTGCTGAAAACGCGATACCCGCAGCACTAGCAAAAAAGCGAGCCTATAACTTTTGTATCAGATGACGCCAGAATTTTAAACTTTGGCGTCCAGTCCGGAGAACCGGCACTACATTTGGGCCTATACTGAGCGTTTGGGGAAGCGTAGCGCATATTTACTGATATAAAAACCGCGTTTTTTTTTTGTTTTTTTTCAGAGACACATTGTATTGTGCCGCATTGCAGATCCAGGAAGCCGGTGAACGACTGCTAAGAGGACGGTTTTGCGACGCTCTGCGACGTTAGTGATCGTAGGGCGGGATCGAGTTGGATGCCCTTCCCTGTGACTCATTAATCAGGACCTCGGGAGGGCGGAATACATTCCGCAAATTACGAGCCGGGCAAAGGAACTCGGCGCAGGCTCATTTCGGTTTCCGAAGCATGCGGTCTCGTTTGGAGAGACGCGTTCGTGGCACGCGCTGCGAATTTCACGCCCGTTAGTCCGTCAACGATACAGTGAGCAAGGGAGGAGTTGGTTCAAGTTTCTCGGTGCAATTAGGAAGGAGCGCGAAAAGTACTTAAAAGCTGGGACAGTTTGGCTAGCGAACCAACACCTAAACAAGAACGAAGTTTCGAATTTCTCGCGCAAGAGTCGATCATTTTATACACTCTTTGGAAACCCGGAGCGTCTGTTCTCCCACAAAGCGATCGGGAAAGCCAATCGCTCCAATGTGCGGAGGGCGCTCGGCGAATATGACGGGTCCGATAATATGTTTAAACCTAAAACAAAACGAAAAACGGCCTGCGTTGCAGCATGGAGCGTGACCTTTCACCATGCTCAGTGCCACATTCTCAAGTCCTGTTTTTTATTTCGTTTTTCTTTTTTCCGATTCATAATTTTTTTTTCTTTTTTTTTTGGGGGGGGGGGGGGGGTTATACATATTGTCAGCCCCGTCATTTGCCGACCGCCCTCCGTAGATTGCAGCGATCCGCATCTTTTTAAACTTATATAGTCAAAGGCCCTTTAAGAAACGCAGGGTGCACTCTAAAAAAAAGTCTGTGCGTCTACTTTCACGCACAACACTCGGAGAATCAAACAGCGCAACTCACGGAGGCAGCTCAGCGAATGACGATGCCGAAACATATGTCTAGACCAAAAAACGGACTCAGTTGTGAAATTAAGCAATGCAAGCGTGATGTTTTGCATTGCTTAATGTCACAACTCAGTCTGCGTTTTTTGGTCTAAACATATGTTTCGGCATCGTCATTCGCTGAGCTGCCTCCGTAAGTTTCGCTGAAGACTGAATCCTCGCAAGAACATTAGCATATATGTTAAGCTGTAAAAGTTTGTGAAGCAGGAGTTTGTAAAAAACGTAACCAAACGCCTTAGCAAGAAAAAAAAATTAAATAGCAGTTTGCCTGAGTATTTTGGTCAAGAATACGATGAAGATCACGGGTGAGTCATACGGGCTGTGTTTCCCATGAGCATGTTTTTTGAAAATCATGTTAAAGTGGGCTGAAAATGTTAGATTGCAAATGCTAATTCACAAGGTGAGAGTCAATACCATATTCGAGAAGCTTACAGGCGACGCGGGTTAATCCGATGGGGCGATAACGATGAGGGGAAGGTTGTTGATTCATTGTTCGGCATTCTTATCGGGTAATGACGCAATCTCGTTGGCTCCGGTGTGACAATAAGGGATCGTCCTGCGCTTCTTTAGCTCTCAATGACTAGAGTAAAAAAAAATGTTTCAAGAAAGGACGAGTTCATCATGTCCTCTTACCGCGACGGATTTCCAAATGACACAAAGAGTGACATCTCAAAACAAACAAACTCGAAGAACGTATTCCGAAAATAGCCGGCACGTTCTCCCAAACGGGCGCATAAGGCCCGCTGTGCGCTCTTTTCAATGCGCGATGAAACACTGCACGTAAATATATTTAGAAAAAGAATAATTCAGCGGTTTCCGATGATACCTCCGAAGGTTTACAATTAAAAATTGTACCTACTTCCTGACCGAGAAAAGATACAACTATTGAAGAAAGAAAAAAACACACAAACACACACATGCGCGCGCGCGCACACACACACACACACACACGCAAACACACAAACACACACACGAAAAGAGCTGGCTTTCCGACTTCCGGAAAACAAAATTCGCCACAGAGCGCCGTGGCGTGCACCACGAATCCGCTCTGGTTTCTTTTGAATCACGAGAATAAAAAGGAATAAACTCAATCCTTCACGTCTTGCAACCTGCAAAAGAAGAAAGCGGCGCGCAGATGCCACCACGGAATGGTTCCCGGTGCCCTCACCGCGATTCCCGCTGTTTTCGCGACATGTCTATCCATTTGGAACGAGGCTGTGTTCCCAATCTTACCCAAATGGATCCGAGTTACTCCGGCGGATCGTATCACGTGACAGCACAGATTGAAAAATGCTGGACGCGGGTTGGTTTTAGAACGCCAAGGGTACAAAACCCTTATCCTGGAGTAAGATCGAGTCAATTTTGGAACACGGCCATAGGGTGCTTTCATTGACGTCATCATGTCTGGTGCGTGCCGAAGACAAGCATTCCAAAGGTGCATCTGAAACCATCGATTATGTAGTACACAGAGGTTTCGTCGCGCTGACACCCAACAACAAAATGGCAGACACCGTGCGCACGCAGAAACCAGATTCGCGCGTGTTGAAGCGTCTGCGCTCATGCGCACTGCCGACAGCAGCACCACCGCAGTGACGTAATGTCAGAGTTGAGCTCGTGTCTACCCATACATATACCTATCATGCGTCGCCGGAGTATTTTAGGTGCAAGAGGTTCCGACGGGACAGATTTCGACCGACCGGCCATTCGAGATATATAGGCTTTAAAACTGCCGCACTCGAGAACCGTTGATGGGTTTATGAAGGGATAAAAGCGAAAACAAGATCGGTAACCCGATAATGCATTTGTTTTAGACGCCGCTCAAACAAGCAAAGTAAATAAAAAAAAAAAGATTTTCTGGCGTGCGATATCCGCAAAGGTGTCATACACAAGACGAAGGCAGTCGTCCCTATGCCATACGGCGTCTACGCTTTGACAGCCAACAAGAAAACACTGCCTCGGTAAAAAAAGAAAAAAAGAGTGCTTTGGGTTTTAGACGTGCGACGACCAAGGGACTGCTCTGACAATGCTTCGAAGAGGAACGCTTGAGAAATGGTCGGAGACGGGACGGGGAGAACACGCAGTGGTGGAGGCGAGGCGGCAGCTTGGCAAGGACCGCCCGGCATTCATCGACGCTCAAAAGGGGAACTCACTCCTACATCAAAGAAGGGGCGCCACGCAGCTCCCCGTATTACGAGCATTCCAGCGAGGACGCCCGCAAGGGCTCCAACGCTCTCGGGTGAGAAGTGCCTTCGAACACGCTGCGCCGCAAAGCACTCGGAACGACAATCCATTTTATAGGCCGTTCGGCCGAGGAGAGCGGTAATCAGTCACGTGCTCCAACACTAACCGAGTTTGAGTTGGCAAAAATAAGTAGACGGCTGCATGGCGCTGAATCAATAGGGCGCGGTACACCGTTCAAACTTCTTATTAAAAAGAAATGACTAAAGAAAGATGGATGTCTGGTGTAAATAAGCGTGATGAGGAAAGGAGGCGAGTTTTAAGCCGGGGCCATACTGCTTATCCCATCATACGAAAGACAGTCTGCAAACACAAGTCACCGAAGTAACCGTGGTTCGAATGCCGCGTGCCAAGTTTTCTCCTTGAACTAAATGCCACGCCGCATTCGAAGCATGGATCTCGCGGTGACTTCCAGTTCGAATCTCGATGCAGACTGTCGTTTCTTTGATGTATAAGCAGTGCGACCCCGGTTTCACGGTCGTCTCGCTTAGGCTGTTGAACAAACCTTCCCCCCTTCCCCCTTCAAAAAAAAAAAAAAAAAAGTCGTACGCTTTATTTTGGAGAACACTCACGCTTGGATGAAGGAAAAGCGCGGTTATTCTTGACTACGTGGTTCTTTCAACGTCATTTCAGTTTTAGGGACGAGCGTTTCACGCGTAAAAGTGGCGGTTGGCGTGAGGTTAAGCGTGATATTTTTTTTAGATTGTATGGCAGAATGCACAAACGGTTTCTGAGGACGTGTAATAAATATGAATCACTCCAGCCATTCGCATACCTGAAAAAACCCAGGGCGTGGCTAGTCCGGACCACCTGCGTTCCGCAGCCAATGAGGGTGCGGCATCAGCTGATATTAAGAACGCTGAAGAACAACTCGCAATACAAGAGCAGTGACCAAAACAAGCCACACGTTTCTGAAGCCGTGAGTGACAACATACACTCTAACAAAAGTCTGTGCGTCTACTTTCACGCTCAACACTCGGAGAGCCAATCACCGCAACTTACGGAGGCAGTTCAGCGAATGACAATGCCGAAACATATGCTTAGACCAAAAAACTCAGTATCAGTTGTGACATGAAGCAATGCAAAACGTCACGCTTGCATTGCTTAATGTCACGACTTAGACTGCGTTTTTTGGTCTAAACATATGTTTTGGCTTCGTCATTCGCTAAGCTGCCTCCGTAAGTTGTGGTGATTGGATCTCCGAGTGT